GTCCCTCCCCCTTCTCTCTCGCATGTCTATGGATCTCTCGCCATGTGTGTGAGCGGAAGGGCAATCTTTCTGATGTCTTGCCCTTCCGAAGTTTTCTCCTTTTCATGTTGTTGTCCACGTGTCCTTTGATACTAAATATTCCGCTGCGCTGCTTCACAGCTCATGATGATAATGATACGAATGTGTTTTTGTTGATTTCTCGTTGGGTTGCTCTTTGCATCATGCACATTGACATCTTGTGAATGCTGCACCTATGCTGCTGGTTGTTGCCACTTTCGTCATTGCTAGATCCTAGGTTGTCAGTGCATTTCACTTTCTGATATGCTACACCACCCCTGAACTTGCGAAACATTCCGTGATGACTTGTCACACGTGTCGAAATGCTCGTTCGACATGCTACACCACCCCTGCATTGCCACATCCCCTTCAGTCTCCCAAATGCTCGTTCGACAACATTCCGTGCTATACAACGTTATGATGTCTTTCAGCTGAAAATCAGGTCCAGCGTCCCTGTAAAGTGCTGTGGAGATATGTCACTCTACCAAGACACAAAACCCTAGCCTCACACAGATGTGATGAGCTGAAAATCGGGGCCAGCAATTCCATTGTGTGTTGACACATCAACCCTAATCTTAGAAAAGAGCTGAGACATTGATTACTTCCCTGCGTAAGGGAAGGATTGACCTACAGCCCATGAAGCGTTATCCTAACAAAACACATGTTCATCAATTTGGATGTTAGTTTCTCACTTTGGAGTTCACCTAGATGAGGAGAGATGTGGCAATGCTGTCGAATTTGTGGGATAAGGACGACAAACAATGAAAAACAGAACAGGTCATGGGCTCGATTCCCCACGTCATCTATGTGACTCCCCACTGCCCGTGAGGCGCACTTCGGGTTCGCCACCTGAGATAGTCAGCTTGCCGCCCCCTCGTTGGTCTTGGTAGGGGTACCCTCCCCCACATCCATTGCTAGAGGTTCGCTGCACCCCTGAGGGGAAAGGCTCAACCCCATACCAGTGGCTTTATCCTTAGAAGTTCGGATGCTTGGTTGAATAAGGTCGGTAGATGAAGTCTGTCCGGCGACAACCTAAAATGGGCTCAATCCATAACCCTTCGGGTGCTATGCCTTCGGTGCATAGACATGGATTGCGGCAATGCCAAATAGGTGGGCGGATAACGTTGGTATGTAGGTCGCTCGTGCGAGGCAACATAAAGATATTGAAAGAAGAGAATGGCGTAGTGAACACAGCTGTCCTCCATATGAGGGGGAGAAAGCTCAAAAACAAAAAAACAGCAAATGCAGCACACCTTGCACGGGCTGCGCGGGTGGCAATGAAACCTCCAACAGATTCTAGCAGCAATTCTACAAGAATGGAAGATGGTGATACACCAGTTCACATTGACCCAGTGGCTTGGTTTCACCTTCGACCAAGCGTTCTGCGCCCCCATATCACTCATCTCATGAAGAAGAAAAGGGTCCAAGGATTTACCGGCTTTGATACCAGCATGGATCTTCAAGATAGATCATCCGTCAGTTGAGTATATTATGT